TGAGAAATAATTTAACATTTTTCCCGATGATGTGGGCTTTTGGTACCAATCATATGTCACTTTATTGTTGTTATCCTTAATCATAGTCACATCCAAAAAATTTAATCTATCCTTCCCCTCTTCTAACGTAAATTGTAATCTTTCATGGTAACCGTTAAACTCCTTTAATATCTTTTTAACGTTGCTACTACTTGTTGCTAATGCAATGTCGTCAACATATCTCATATAAAAGGTAGGTTTGATCGATAATCTATTGAGACAATTGGTCTCAAGGTCCTGTAAAACTAAGTTAGCTATGACAGGGGACAGTGGTGAGCCCATTGGTAAACCATAAGATTGTCTGTAATACATGTCATTGAACGTAAAAGTCAAGTTATTCAGAAAAATTGCAGAGATAAAAGAAGAAACAAGTAATAGCACGATTCGCGATTTATAGGACAATAAATCATATTTGTGAATATAAGCGATGTACGATCAACCCAGCTTATCGATCATTAAGCGCATCAATGCTGTGAACAGACGCGCGTTTAATATACGATGAAAAACAGTCGCATAAATTACTCATCCTCGCACCCCGTAGAAGTGAACACACGCCTGTATACCTACTAGTCCTCCCGTGTAAGCGCTTCTTCACGATACTCGATACAACGCGATTTGCCTCACGGATGTCGCTTGGCTACTATTTACGATCGCAAAAAGTATAAAGCCATGCGAATCGTTACAAGCTCCTTTCGCGAACTTGTTCCTTCTCGCTTTTGCCTGTCAACATTTCTAACGCGTACATCACTGCTTTGTACTCACGTCAAAATCGTCAAAATCAAAGGGTAAATCATTAGTGAAAACTTTCTATATCATATCTATTTTTATATCAAAATATAAAATAATAACTCCATTAATTAATAATGTACAATAATATATTGAAATATTAAAGCAACGCAGCGTTGTTTTATTTCTGCCTCAATCTTTTTTTAGTATAAGAATCTTAATAAAAAAGTTAACAAATGAATGATTGCACAAAAGTGAATAAAATCTGAATGAGAACTAACTAATGTGCTAATTAAATATGTTCATATATTTTTTTGAATTTATGCAGTTTACAAAAAATGTTTACAAAAATACATTTTACAGCGGTTTGGTGCGACGAAAAGAAATTTTGTTACGATATGCTATTATGTATGATCTTTTTCAGACCGTACATATAAGCATTTGCATCACGTTTCAATGTTATTGTATACTGTTTCGTATTCTCAAATAGCTTGTCAATAACAAAAAGGATAAAAAGGGTTTCAATGCTTGCTCGAAACTAGGTCGAATGCTGAGATACATTTCTATTCATTTTTTACATTCATATTTGCATTAATTTTTTTATCTCTTTAATGTATATTTCAAAGAAATTTAATTTTTTTTTATTATATATACGTTTTAATACGTTTCTATTATATATACTTTTAAAAATCATTAAAAATTTTAAATATCTTATAGAAAAATATTTTAATAAATTTAGAATTAATTTCTCTTTTTTTTTTCTTTCACAAAATTTATATTATATTAGTCCAACTACATGTATATCATTTTATTTTGCATAATAACTAGTGACATTTACAAGTTAAAATAAATTAACACATTTGTTCGCATTGAGAAGAAGTGAAATACATTGCGGGTAAAAATAATGGGACGGCGGTTGCTAATTACCGACAGCAAAGTATTAGCATAAAACTCCCGTAACTTCGCGAACGGTGACAAAAGCTCTAAGGGAGACTTACGAGTTTCTTCACTCTTCTCCAACACGTTTGTTTAGCATCATCAATGTGATATTTCGTTGTGCCGTCACGTCTCGCGCTGTTCCCTTTGAGCTCTAAATAACGTCCGATGGAGTCCTTAAACGCGGGGATGCGTCGCCGCGCATAATATCCGTTATTTACAAGCCAATAAAATCGCGCCTCTCGAAACTTGAACGCATAAATAAGTGATAGAAGAAAAAAAAGAATGAGGACTCTCTCGCCATGATTTTAACGGTTATAATAATCTACGTATTTTTAGCGCGCATTGATGTTAAAAGAATTTTTATGAATAACCTTCTCTAAATCCATTCAATTATGACTATAGTCTAACCGAGAGTTTAACTTAGGAACATCATGGATTGGAATTGTCTAGTTATTTTCGATATGAAATGAACGATTTTGCTGAAGGATCTAAAAATTTAGTTAGATATATAGAGATCCGAAAATAATTTTGTTGAATTATCAAAATTATGTAGAATCTTCAAGCTAGTTGATGGAATGTCAAAACTTTTTGTATCATCATTTGCTCATCATATGTGAGTGTCTTTATAAATATTTTTATGGCCAACAAAATTATTTTTTATTATTTTCTATATCTATATCTAGCTCTAAACTTTTAAATATTTCAACAAAATTCTTTCCGTATAGATTTCTATTATAAAGAAAACGTAATAATTCCGATCGGAATTTATCCCAAACAATTCCTGGATATAAAATTCACTAGTTTATCGTACTTATAATATATTAAAACGGTTATTTAAAATTTAATAGCTATACAAACATAGTCATAATATTATGCAGAAATTCAGTCATCCGTAACGCACTAATTTCATTAAACGCTATCGCATTATTGAATCGATAGAGTGTATACGATACGAAAAAAATTTTAATGTGTGCATGAGCAAGTCTATATATCGTTTCCTTTGCTATTTTTAACATTTAATGAATATTCATGAGATTGTAGCGTTTTTCATGAATATGTTACTACATGTTTTCTCTTTTAAGTTCATGTACCAAATGTATTATAGATATTTTAAGAGTTTTTAAATTATATGTTCTATGCATTTAAAATGAAGATAAATAATGTTATACAACAATCTTTGAAGAAATGAGCATTGATAATTATTCATTAATGATATCAATTAGTACAATATCTATGAAAAAATCTTTAAAAACATTAATAAATTGTTATTTTTTACATCGTGCTTTATAAAATATCACGAAAAAGCAATTTTGACTTTTATATGAAAAAAAATGAAATTGCAATATAGAAAAAAAAAGACGCGTAATTTATCAACCCTCGATTAATTTAAGCGTACAAATATTCTGGGAAACGCGTGGACTAAATCTATTAGCCTTGAGATAGAAAATGAGACAGGAAAAATTGGTCCAGAGTCTTGTCGCAGAATTCGCCTCTCACAACCATCGATAAACGAAAAGCGTTGCTTGTTACGCGGCCAGAGTGGGTGTCAAGGGAGACGGTAAGAGAGTACATTAGACGGTAATTAAAAGCGAGCCTATTACCGTGGCTAACGGAGCATGAAATGCTTTAAATCGTTTACAAATTACAGCGTCTGCGAGCGCTGAAACGTCTGCTGCTGTTACGTACACGCGAAAATCACGCAATATACAATTCAAATATAATAATAACATTTTATTGCAAAACACTGATGTCTTATCGAGATAAATACTCAGGTCCGAGTGCCTTTTCCACTCGAGAATCTTTTAATCCTTTAGTCAATAATTTGTGCTCGTCTATTTATGAATTTGAGTAGGAAAACAAAACACTGCGATTATTGGAATCTGTCGGTTAATATATAATACAAAATTTAGCAATTTGGAATTTATCGGTCAAAAAGATAGAAATTCAAAAATATAAAATTGTGTTTACGATATTGATTAATACGTTAAGAATGCAAATTGAAATTCCAACAAACAATTGCATATAAAATTATTTGACTGCAATAACAAGTGTTGCAATAATGTTGTATTAAAATTGATGATTTCTGCCAATCAATAATTAATTTCATGTTGTAAAATTATTTACATATATCGCTGAATTTCATATATTTAATTAATAAAAGGTCTATGTGAAACACATAAACACCGTGTATAACAAGGAACATTTTGATCACTGTAGTATTATACTCGATATTTTACGACAGGAAAAGTCCTCGCGGAGTTCGAGCGATTTGAAAAGCTCTCGTGAACTTAACTCGCACGAGCCAGTGGACCTGTCGCCACTTGTTGAATGTTTATGAAGAAGAACAGAAGTTGAAAGTACTCTCAAATCGTTTCGGCCAATCACAAATTTCGAGTGGAGATTAAACGTTTACTTTATCGTATGCTTCGAGAACTCTTTCGATTAAACTGCAGATAAAGCGGATGATAAAAGATTTCAGAGACAAAATAACAGCGTGCTTATCGTTAATATTATTTATATATCGTTAATGTATCGTTAGTAAAAAAATGTTTAAGTTATCATACTGAGTCGTTTGTAGATAAGAAGGGTATATTTTTCACCTTTTCCACGACCATTTGGAGATTGTTTTATTTCTATATATTTTCTTATGTATTTTTCTTCATAAAAACTGAAAATTATCTTAATAATGACACTAAAATAAAGAATAAAATCCTTACTCTTTATTATATTTTAATCGTTTAATTTAGAGTTGATCTAACTCTCTCTTAATTTTTAAATGATTGAATAACTGACAGCGATTTCGTAACGACGTAAATAAGAATTTTATTAACTTTATTTCATACACACGCAATGTAGTAATTTTTTTTTTAGTGTAATATCATTATTAAATAACTTTCGGTTTTCATGAAAAAAAAAAATACATTAAGAAAATGTAGAAATAAAACCATCCCCGAATGATTACGAGAAAAGTTGTATCCTTTTATGTGATGGAATTCAGAAAACAAATTAAGATTATTCAAAATATTATCTAAATAATGATAAACGATTGCAAAACGTACGTCTTGGAAAGTCGATTAAACTTAAAAATTTTCAACTTTTGTTCTTCCTCAAAAATTCCAATTTTGAGGAACTAGTAAAGTTGATGTATAATTACACAAGCGATTATATATGTTAAAAAGAATCAGTCTCGATCGAGAAATAGATTCTAGAATTTTATTATCATTATACTAACAGATAATACACTTTATTAGCTCGTCGGACAATGAGAATTTGAAAATGTCAGCGTAAAGACTCACCTTTCAAGATGCCCGCGAAGAGGAGCAGGAAGAACAGCGTGCATAATTGGCGATGGCCCCTGCGTGCCATGTTGTCCCACGGCGAAACGCACAAGACAATGCACAAAAGTCAATTGTAGACGCGCGCGGAAACGAGGAAGCACATGAATCCCGCCGTGGCACACATACTCGAGGAACAGTCCCGGATGCACGAAAACGCGTGAACGTAGTTTCAAGCGCGTTCGTTCGAATCACTTGCAAAATTTCAAATTCTCAAAATGGAGCATGCGCGCACGCCGCCGTTCGGCGAATCAGACTGCGACGTTTCGTCGGCATCCACGCGCGCAGATTTCTTCCCGTTAACCAGATCGCAAAAGTAAATTAACACACGGATCCGTCGAATGCTTCTAACGATTCCCGTTCCTATCCCTCGTCACAATTAGTAACGATCGAAAGTGCACGATGCGTATCGCGACGAACTACGAAACGTCACTGTGAAGTTACGCGCAAATGACGGCCGTACTGATCGCGCGATTCTTTCCGCGAAAGAATTTGATCGTTTTCCTTCTTGATCGACTTTACAACGCCACTCTACGATCACCTACGATGGAGTCATCGCGCGAAACTCGCGAAAGTCGGTTATTCACAAGAGGCATCGTACATCACGCGTTAACTGTCACACTGACAGTTCTATCGTCATCAGTTGCGAAGATACAGCAAACGGCACGCACGGTTTTGTCAATGAATGTCCACGTTTGTTTAATGACCTCGAATTATAACTGCTCGTTCGAAAGTGATTCTATACGTCTGATTTCGTTGATCGGGAGCCGGTCTCGCGACGCGTGTCACTCCCGCACGCCTTTTCACGTAAATACACAGAACGACGCAACGAATCGGCCGAGATGTCGCACGAGACTGCCGGCCGGCCGCTAACTTCGCGCGGTCTCAGCGTCGATCGGGAGACGCGCATGCGCGCACAAGATGGCGCGCGTTGGAGGGGACGTTCATAAAACCGCCGCGCTGCTCCGTTTTCCCTACTTCCACGCCGCCCGGCGTTCGCGTCGCTTGTTTTCGGTTCATTCGCAACAAGTTGTTGAATTTTACTGTGATCGACCCTTCTAAAAATCTATCCAGTTCCCCGATTCTGTAACTCGTAGACGCAGTTCCATAAACATAATATTAATCTCGATTTAATTTATTGTATCTATTTCCAAAAATTATGCCCGTTTCTACTAGTTTAATTTTAATCTTGGTTTAATTAACTTTTCATCTTTTTTTTAGTTCTAAAAATTAGAAAAAGATGAAAAGTTGAACCAAGATCCCAAAATTAACTCAGATAGCAAAATGCTAGCAATACACTAGCAGTATGTCAGCAAACTCGATCATGACAATGCAGATTTCAATCTGCTGCTTCCTCATTAAACTTAGTTTCTAACAGCAGAATTTACCAATATAGAACAATCCCATGCAAAACAACAAGTCATTATGAACCAAAATGATATCAAAATGACTCCAAAATGATCATTAAAAGTCATTTTTCAATCATTCTCAATTCATTTTAATGTCATTTTGATGTTACTTGTTCTTCTTAGGATGATGACAACGCAACAAAAATGTTGGAAATAATGTGTATAGAAACTAAGGCTCAAATAATTTATAAAATTAATATAATAAAAATAGGGCTACAAGCCAAGCAAGATCTTTATGCTAAGTTATTACAAAAACAAATAGTTTATTATAACAAACGTTTCGACCCCTATTGGGTCATTATCAATGTTAATCTTAATAACAATATAAAAATCACATACTCATTTGAACAATAATCTTAAACAAGACATTCAACACAATTTAAAAAGAATATAAAAGTTACATCAATTCTATAAATATCCTTATCGTTTTAGATGGTTTAAGATTATTGTTCAAATGAGTATGTGATTTTTATATTGTTATTAAGATTAACATCGATAATGACCCAATAGGGATCGAAACGTCTGTTATAATAAACCATTTGTTTCTGCAATAACTTAGCATGAAGACCATGCTTGGCTTGTAGCCCTATTTTTATTATAAAAATGTTGAACTTGGAATAGAAAGTCCTCTTGCACACATACATTTTATTTTAATAAAGAAATGTCAAAAATACGCGGAAATTTTCCCTATAGGGTAAGTCGGGTGAAGATGCCATAATTAACTTTGGATCGCGATATATTTTTAACCGTTATCGATACATAAAATAATATAAAACCAATGAAAAGTTTGATTAGTTTTATTTATTATGGTTTAGTTACACATACATGTATCTCATAAGATTTTTACGTTGCAGTAAAAAAATAAAAATCTTATGAAGTAGCATCTTACCCAACCTATTGGGTAAGATGTCACAAAACCTAGGGTAAGATACTCTAACATCACAACTAAATACAACACAATACATGATCTGTAAGAATAAAAATTGTTATCAACAGCTATTCTTCTCAACAATAGAGACTATAGTTATTCCAAAAATAAAGAATTATTTTTTTCTTAAAATTAATAATCTTTGAAAATAAACACGAACAGCGAGTGTTATATCGTCGCTGGCTTACAAATAAACAAATCGAACGCGTTACTAATGTTATCTAAGGATAAACATGGAAAGTATTAACAAATGGCATCTTACCCCAACACGACTAGAAAAAATATTATCAGAAATTTCTATCAAAAACATGTGCCATCCAAAATAATAAGAAGTTAAAAAATTCTCTTGATACTAAACTTCAATGTAATCCACTACGTATTTGTGAAATAAAGTCTACAAAAGATTAATGTGAATTCTAAATTTCGTGTAAAATGTTAACAGAACAGTACTTTTTCAATTTACCTCGATAAATTCACAATCTTTGAAAATAAACACGAACGAATGTCATATCGTCGCTGGCTTACAAATGAATAAACCGAGAGCGCCACTAATGCTAATCTAAGGATAAACATTAAAGGAAAATATTAACAAATGGCGTCTTACCCGACATGGCATCTTCCCTCGACTTACCATATAGTAAATTAAACTGAGATTTATAAAGTTAATTTTATTATTTGTGAAACCGGATCTTAACGACAGTTCGAGATCGTTAAGTTGCCATTGCCAGGTTTTTTTTCATGTAACTGCGCAAAAATAATATAATGATATACCGACACTGTCGTTAAGAGTTACAGAATCGGGGTACAGAGAATAAGAAGTTGCTAAATGCGCGCATGTGATCGCGGGAAAGAAAAGCTGGCAGTGAAGAAACATCAGGGGTGAGTTTTCGGCGCGGCCGACTGTAATGCAATTAGATTAATGGCCTGACAGGGCGTGAAGCAAAATAATCTTCGCGTTTCTTCTTGTGAATGCCGCACGTATGCGACCGTGCGGAATTAGAAAGTTTTGTGTGTCTATTGAGTTTTATTTTTTATTAAATAATAGAAATATCCTAAAGTTAAATGGTACATCTTAAAGGAGAAATACAATCCTTTTATATACTTTCGTATCCCACATTCAAAATCATTATTTATTTTCTAATTGTTATCTTAGCTTGGCTGGACTGTCGGAATAGGTGGTCGATCCTTCGGAACTATAGCAGACGCTGTGCTGTGGATCAAATTCGTAATTATACAAAAATCGCATAAAAATAGCATAAAATAGATAGCTATTTGCTACAGAGAAAGAACGGTTCTGTTCAAGTATTTAAAAATTTAGCTACAAAAAGATTTAAAAATAATTTTGTTTGAACCATTAAAATAATTACGTAGAGCATTCAAACTGGTTGCTGGAATGTTAAAAGTTTTTGCAGCATCATCATCAATGCTTAAGCGTTCTACATAATTATTTTGATGGTCTAAAAAAACTGTATTTTCAGATTTATATCCGTAATAATTAAAATTTTAGATACTTAACAGAACCATTCTTTCCGTGTAAAATAATGTTAAACTAAATTTCTTGAAGTCTATTCCAGTATGCAAGAAACATTCCAGTAACATTGTAACTACTGCAATGTTTCGAAATATTTCTTGATTACTAAGATAATAATTAATGGTAACACACAATTAAAAATATCAAAAGCACATTCGCTTATACGCTTACCATATCAGCTATAGTATGATAAATAATAAACTAAAAATCATAATCATTTACTTTAAAAACCATGCGACTTCTGGACATTCCTAATTGTGGAGCTGATGTAGATTTAGTGTATTTCTTTCTCCTGTAAAAAAAATAAAGTATTTCGATGTAAAATTGAAATCGAAATAATACAACGCGATATAATTAATTCATATTAATCAGAGATCAATATAATTATAAAATTTCTATTCTAATACGGATAAAAAAAATATTATTTTAATGCAAATAATATAGAGTAATGTAATAAGAATAAGCCCACGAGTAAATTTTGCTGCTATCGCTGACAATGTCTTTGCTGCTGTAACTGATTTCAGCCAAGCAACGTTCCTCGTCCGCATGCTCTTGGCATCCTCCTGGGCATCGTCCAAACCTATCTCTCCACCATTCCTTCAATTTTTCAACCACGCCCTTATGCAACTTCGAGGGGCACGTATCCGGCTGGCAATAGTCTGAATTTTCATAGAGAACTGCGAATCTAAAGAAAAAAGGACAGATTGAATGTCGCTGCAGCGTTTTCCAAGCAGTCGTTCTCCCAAAAATTGCAAAAAAAACAAGAAGATTCAAAATTTAAATAATAAATTTAAATATTATATAATAAATTTAGGATATATAAAATTAAAAAATATATAGTATCTATATATAGTAAAACATATAATAAAATTAAAATATATAATAAAAAATAGATAATTATTTAAATAATTAATTTAAATAATTCCAATAACTTAAAATATACCAATTCAAATTATCTATACTAAATAATTCAAATTGTCTATACTAAATATCTATATAAATATAGATATTTAGTATAGATAATTTGAAGTAAGCCAGGTGCGATGCAAAAAAAATAAGCAAAAGAAAGCAATGCCTAAACTTACGGTGTAGTCTTTGATTCACAAGGTGGACAGCCTTCGGAAGGTTTAGTGAGAAATCTGTAGCACACTAAGCTCAAACCCACCAACAACCATATCACCAGTACGGATACTATTGCTATAATCACGAGCTCCGTGGGTCCAAGCGTCATTATACTCTCTGAATTTAATCGGTATGAATTTAATCATTTTACAATTTAATTGTGCTTTGAATAATTAGAAAGTAGTTATTAAGATGATACAGATGAGAAGGAAAAAAATTGTGTTGTCTCACGCGAAGAAATAACCTACTTTCTCCCTTTCCTTTGTAAAATGACGACGCGCTCCCATCCGTTTGACTCGTACGTTCCATACCTACTTTGGGCATAACTTGATAAGTACCACTTGTT